AGCTGCATTAGTGGAAGACTTCCAAATTTATTTTAAAAGTACCTGCATTTTTGTATTTTTTTTTAAATCTCTGATACTGCAGTCGAGTACCGTGCACTATGGGGAAACAAGGTGCATAATGCAAGCAGCATTTTTAAACATTTCTCCTCAGGACTGGAAAGCCCTTGAGGATCCATACCAGGGGTGCAGTGTTGATGTTCAAAGTGCTTCCCCAACCCTAGTGTCTCAGGTAGGGGACAAGCGGGCTGATCCCCTGCAGCAGGAGCAGGGCACCCACTTTTCTGGTGGTGCCAGGAGAACCAGCCAGCCCTGGCAGCAGGTGAGGTGGTGAGGGACCCCCATGGCTGTGAGGGACCCCCATGGCAGGGCCGGGGCACTGCCTCAGCGCTGAGGAGAGGGGTGGGGCTGTGGCGCAGCAGGTGCTGAGGGGGCTGTGGGTGCTCGGCGAGGAGCTGGGCACACCTCACAGGACTCCTCCATGCCTGGTGGCCTGCGGCACTGAGTGGGAGCCCTGCACGGGCTGCGCCACACTGCTGCTTGCCGCATGCCCCATCGATAGCCGGGGAAGGAGGTCGTGAGGAGGAACACCATGCACCAAGAGTCCCTGCGCCGAAAGTCCATTGGAAGAAGCGTGTCCCTGCCATTCATCCCCCGCAGTCCTCCTCGTTCTTGCTTAAAAACGTATGTAAACCTTCCCACTGGCAGGGAAATCTCTGCTCAACAGCAGCAGTCGCCTCATGGTCTCTCCGACAGCTGAGTTGTAGCCAGCTGACAGCCAGGCCCAGGCCATTTTAATGGAGACTGTCAGATAGGCCCCATTTCCCTGTCAGACTACTTCCCCTCCGTCTGGTAGTACATGCAAGAAACCGCATTGATTGTCTCTCTGAGCTTAGAAAATTGTTACTTTGTGCTCTTGATAAAGTAATTTAACGGAGATAAAGCTAGAGTACCAGTCACTTTATTTTAGTGCTACAGTTCTGCCTTGTCAAAGTCCAGGCTATTCTGTTGCCTATGCATTGTTTGAAAAGTAATAATTTATATGTCATCTTGTAAACTAATTGCAGATAAAATTCGGGCAAACTTGGAACAGAAGGTTTTACAGGCCTCCCAGAGCAATTGCACTGCTTTTTTGGCTTGGCCGTATGCCTGCATACGTTATAACAAACTCGCACAGGCCAGTTGCAGGAAAATCCTGTAGATCAGGACCCTGAGCCTCTCTGAGGCCTCAGATCCACAGTTAGCCTGTGGCAAGCGTGCAGCGTGCGTTTTCCCACAGAAATACTAAGAGTCAGGATCTTGATGAAAGGGCATCAAGACGGCCTACCGGGATTCTCAGTTGTCTCAGCAAATTGATTATTCCCATAGATGTTATAAGCTTTAATAAATGGGTAAACAGGATCATAAAGCTTAGGCTCATTCTCACACTTTGTGATCAATCTGGAGACTGTAACAAGTATTCCCACAAACCTTTGAAAGGCATATGTGCTCTTGTTTTCAAAAAGAGTTGTCTACTTTTTGGGAGCCTTTCCTCCCTGATGTTGTAGCCCAGTGTGTTGCACCGGTTCTTTCTACAGCTGAGGCACATTCCTTTGTTGAAAGTGTTGATGTCGTTGCACCAGTATGCTGTGCTTTGCTTGTCGTTGTGAAGCAAAGAGTCGATGAACAAATGAACTGACCGCTCGTGGGCACATTTCACGGTTTGAGTGATGCCTGAAAAAATGCAAACAACAAAATTTTGTATGCCCTCGTTCCTCTTTAACATTTCAACTGCAGAGGAGTACAATAACTGACTATAAACATATGTTACTGTTTTCCTTCCACCCCCCTACTGCTAAAACATGATTTTGCCTCAGAAATCATACATTGTAACAACTTTACTTTTCATCCAAAAATAGTTTGGCTGAACCCACATGGTAATAAAATTGAATAATTTACTACTTAAACTTCTCTAGCCTGAGTGTTTAAGACTGTAAATATGAACCTTGATTTCATTGTCGTGGCTGTTTTAGTCAATATGAAATACAATACGAGGCTTCATACAGTCTTTCAGGTCATGCCACGTTAAAGACAGCAGTTGAATGGTTGAACACTGTCTTTTGGGTGCTCACGGAGGTCATATTTTGTCCCTATTGGGTGACAAACTCTCATGTTGAATTGAATTTTCTTACAGCTACTACTGAGGAAAAAGGAGCAAAAAATGTATTAAATATATTAAAAAAATATTATTAAATACTTTTACGAGAAGTAAGTAGCTCTTTCTTCCATAAGCGTCATCAAATTGCGGAAGTTATTTTCTTCTGTGTAATTGGGATATGTCACAAGGGACTGTTTTTATATGTCTTCACTGATAAGCTTTCTAGCTGATGCTTGGTTTCACATTTGTCATGAATTATCTGCTAATGAATAAGGCCTACTTTTAGATAGTGTGATGATAGCTGAGAAATGTTTTTGTGATGCAGTATGCTGGGTGAACAGTACTCCTTTGGGGGTTTTCAGTGAACAGTTCTGGTTGTCACTGCGCATCAGTACCTTATCTTTTTTCAGTATGTTGCATCAGTTTCTCTATATGTTTATGTTTAGGTACACTAGAAGTAAGCTGCTATATACAAAACCTAGCCTGGAACACTGGCAGTCAGGTCCTAGAGAGAGCATCATCTGTGCAGCTGAAGGACAGGGAGTTGGGAAAAGGTGAACTAAGGAGGTGAGTAATACAGCCCTGTGCTTTATTTGATTTGAAATAATTAATTGCACACTAGATGAATCTGGCTTAATTAGAATAAGTTTTCTCATTTCCTCTACCGCTAAAACAAATACCTTTGAAATTATTCAGAAGTGCTTGACAGCAGGATGCTCGTGGCCTCATTTTCAGAAGTGCTAGGCAGCCAAGTTCCTTACTGGAGTCAGTAAGAACAGTTTGAACTCAATACATGTAAAAGTCAGATAACCATTTCTAGAAAAGAAATTTCCTTGCATATAATGGGAGATAATACTCCTGTTAGATACTGTTTAACGCCACAGAGATATGTAAAGGTTTCCCAGAGACAGCGTCAGTGCAACTGCAATCCAGCTTCCTGTTTTGTGCTTTTGGTTCTTACCAGTAATTCCGTATTGTGCGATGTGGTTATACACATGCATGATGTGACAGCCGGGCTGAAAGGTGCCTCCATTGGGATAAAAGTCGAAATGAGCCACAGGCTGCTTGATGCCAACACTGAGACCCATGTGCTGTTTAGTGAATGTATGAATTGCATCTACAAAGTTTGCATCATCTGGAGATAAACGGTCTGTTGGTGACATTCCTTCAAACAAGGGACCGGCAGGGTCAAGGCCTGCAATGAATGCAAATAATCCAGTTGTGATATAGTGTAGATGGGCTGTTCTTTTACTGTTATGAGAAAAGTCTGTGATAAATATTTAAAAACAGACAGCACTGGTACTTTACAAGGTCTTTCACTGATAGAAACAGTGCTAGGAAAGCTTGTCCTGCAGAAGGTACCTGGTTACACCAAAAGGTAAAGTAAACACAGGCAGTGTAATAAACAGTAACTGCTACATGCACAAGGACACAGGCCCAGAGATAGATGTGTTTGTTATAGACAAACCATGCCTGCTACTGCTTTGTCACTTGAGGGATGTTTACTTAATTTTGTTCTTTCATACTCTAGAGGTCATGCATTTCAGAGGCCCTTTTGAAGACACCAGTCACCACAACAAGGTTGACTTTTAGCCCACATTTGGGACCTGAAACTTTATAGAGCTTCATTTACTACTTAAAAGAGCTATATGTCTGCTAGATGTTGTTTATCATAATTTTTCAACTTTAAAAGTCTTCAAGGCAAATTATTACAGTATTCAGAAAAATAATATTCCACTTATGGATTCTTGCTGATTTTTAGTTTGCTAGATATTTTTGTATGGTGCTGGTTTTGCTTGGGAACTGGTTTATGGAAAAGAACTGCCTGTGTAGTTTAAAGCTGCCTTCAGTTTTGGGGAGAAGCTTCTAAATTTGAGATTGTTCAGCTGGTACTGTGGGCTAACATAGTTGCATAGATGTAGCTGGACAAGAATAATAACACAGGCTACAAGTAGGGATGTCACCCTGAAGGCATACTTTTCCTTTTGTTTTTAATAGCTTTTATCACTATGATTTTTTGAGCCTATTGTTACAAGTCTGAATAATTTTTGCTGAAGATTGCATATAGCTGTCACAATAAAAAATGTGGTTTCATGTTTTTCATTTATCCATTATCGAGGTTTGATGTACTAATATGGTTTGAACAAGCAGTGCTGATAAACTAAACTCCTTCATTGTATACAGAGGTGTAATATGATGACACATTGTGTAAAATCAGCTTCTTGGCATGCAGGCACTGTCACCAGAGCTGATTTTATAAGAGACTATGGTATGTGGCCATGAATCCAAAGTCAGAATTGGGACTTCAAACTACAGTCATGCATATTTGCCTCACTCCCAAATCAGATTAAAGTAAAATATTTTCTCTGGTAACTTAAATGTAGCTGTGGGCCCTGTGCAATATGCACTTCTGTCTTGGTTTGGGGTTTTTTTGGTGGTGGTTTTTTTTTTTTTTTTAAGCTGTCACTGTGCATTAGATGTGGTACTATATACAATGTATCGATAACCTTATAAATGTATTTTCATTACACTCATAATTAGTACAGTTACAAAACATTACAGAAGGTTCAAAATGCCACTAGTCAAAACAATCAAGTGTTTTGTTAATTTTGTTTACTTTAAGCATCTATTAGGGATACTGTAACGATATGCTTCTTGTAAATTGTAATCCAGGGCTATCATTTTTGCTATAGGAGAACTGACTTCAATTCATTGTATGAGCAATGTATCACAATTAAAAGCTCAAGCACAGTTAGACGATTTCCTTAAAGCAGTTTTCTTTTTAAAATTAGTTGGTAACAATGAACAGTGTATTTTAATGGCTTTGGGTCAAGATAGTGACCAAAGATCCAAGGTTAGTGGCTAACATTCAGTTTAAGTTGTTACTGGGAATGGATATGGGATAAAGTCAAGCAACACACAGCTTAAAAATTTGGTTTATGATTTGTAGTCCCCCTGCTTTTATATTCTTTATGTCATAATTTGGACTGAGGCAGGAAAGATCAAAGCTAGAAATACTATGATACTTCATTTTGAAATGTGTTTTCATTAAATTTTCTAAATCTAATTTCTAAACCAATGGGATGAAACTTCTAAACTGTCGCAAATACTGTTATTCAACAGCTAAATACTGATATCACATTGATATGTCAAATATCTATGTAACTTAAATCACTTGACTGTTCCATTTCTTAAAATTATGAGTCGATTACCTGTAATTCTTCCAATCTTGTTTGTACCACTGATATAACTTCCAGCAAATCCTGAAACATGAGCTCCTAGGCTGTACCCAATTAGATGAGCATTGCTTCTGGAAAATTGAATGGATTCCTGGAAGATAGCAGCAGCTTGATTTAGATGCAGAAAATGTGAAAAGTAAACAGCAAAGTACTTATTACAAGCTAGGAATGCCATGAATTACAACACAAGAAATTTGTATGTTGATGATGGAGGTTGAGAGGACGCATGGATCATGCACTAGATTTCTTTGCTGGCTAAATGTTATTCCTTGCCTCCTTTTCATGCAGTAGGAAAATGCCACAATTTGGACACTGCTACTTATGTGCTATGCTCAGGAAAACCATCAACACAGATAGTAGGATGTTTGTTTCTGTTTGCTGCAAGTGATGCAAATGTGCATTGCTTTTTGTCTGCAACATTTGACTTTCCTATGACTATAAAATGGATATCTGTCCTTTAACTTCAGTGTCAAACAATCTTTTATAGAAAGTGCCTTGCTTTCTTTGCCTGAGATAGTAGCATAAACCAAAGTAGAAGCCAAAGTATCAAAACATTGATCAGACATGCTAAGTGATATGGCAATGACATTTCTTGGACTGATTTGTACAAAACTGGGTATCTGATCTGAAACAAACCTATTGAAGCAGAATTGGCCTCAGGCCCTTCTTTCTACCTGATCAGTACTGTCTACATCTTAAGCATTTCACCTGAGCTTCAAGGATCAAAGTTTTTCTGACTTGTAAAGAAAAATGTAGCATATTTTTCTTGCAGGAAAGGCAAACCTCTGTTTTAATTTCATTGTGGATATTATCTGTCCCAGTGGAGTGGCTTTGCAGTCTCAATACCTGTCTCTTGTGAAGATGAGGTGAAACATGGCAACTTTATTTTGAGAGAGGCAGCTCTTGGAAATCACAAGATCTTACCAATTTTCTTGGCAGGTGCTATTGAGGTGGATGCTATTGAGATTGTTACTGATCATGACCTATTAACTCTTGGACTTAAGAGTGCTAAGATTTACTTTATTTTTATTCGTTATTAAAATGTTGCCGAGCACTGTAGTTCTTGTCACATCCCTTGAGGATATTTCAAATACTCGCCTGTCTAAGCAGACTGAAGCATAGTGGAAAGATAGTTATGGTAGCTGGAATGAAGGGTTTTTTTAACTGTTCAGCTCAGGGGTGCTTCTCAACAGAAGGAAGGTTTACTGCTTGAACATTCTCAGTTGAATGCTGTGAAAATTTATGGTATGTTTAAATCCTGCAACATATGATACAAGAGAAGCTACCTACAATGCTGGAGCAAGGAGTCATTTATTCAAGCCTCGATTTGTTTGCTGTCTTTAATGTTGACGATGTGGCGTGTCCTCCTGGGAACTGAACAAAGTCCACTGTTTGATTCATTCAATAATTAAACAGCTTCAAAATATGACTTTAGGCTCCAGCAACTTAAACTGCGTTTGATAAAGAGCTAAGATTTCTTCTAATATCACAATAAAAAATAGTGACTCTGGCTCTTCTGCCTTCTCTTTTGTGCCTTTTGTCCCTAACTGGGCATGGTATCTGACAACTACTTCTAGCCCTGCCATTGCTGTTGAAAGCAGCTTAGCCCTTCAACGATATTTGCTTCAGCTTTGCAGTGTATTTCCCTTCCACCTTAGGCCTCATGGTATTTAATGTATTCAAAAATTCATTGTGAGGTACAGAAGTATATTTTCATTTCAAATTAGGTAGTATAAATTAGTACTAGAGATAGAAGAAATAAGAGTGGCTTAGGGTGCCTGGTTTGTTTTGTATGAGTGATTCCCATTCTTGTTTGCTTTCTGCCTTTTCTTAAATAGTTCTGGAGACCAGTGATCCCTTACAGATGTGTCTGCAGCCTTTTCAATCCAGCCATGGCCACTGCTCTCTATGTTGCAGCGATTTTGATAGTAGTTACTACATTAGTGTGGCTCTGTACTCACAACCTCCTCACATGCCTCCAAGTCATCTGCTTTGTGAGGCGTGTCTGTCTTCTTAAAAGGTCTGCTTTTACACTCTCGATGTCTATGCCGTTATTTTAGAATAATCTCTGGGGAACTGAGGCAAAAATTAGACGCAATGTCATGCCTGAATTCTGCATTAAAAGCAGAAATAAAGCACAGCTAACATAAACCCGTTTTACTGAACTAACCACTTGTAAACGATAACGTGTGCCTGCTTTCAAAGTGTGGGACTCTGTCAGCCATCTGCACACATGCTAATTGAAAAGCTAAAGTAGCATGAAATTATCTCACCCCCAAAGATAAATCAAAATATTTTTATAAGCAAGACCACTTGCTTTTTTCTCTTGCATGATGAAAGTTTTATGAATTCATATGAAAGTTTATGGAAGAATAATTTGCAATGTATTAAAGAAATGTAAATGATTGAAATGAACCACATTTAACCAGTATAGTATTTCACAAAGGTGGTAGAAGCTTAAGAACAGGTAAAATAGGTCTTTTCCAGAGAAATATGTGTTGATCTGGGGGCTCTTACCTCCAGCCATTCCAGGAAGTCTGCTATCTCCTGTCCTATGTAGCGTGTATTCTGTACAGCAATGGGATAGTGCTGGTGAGCATATGTAAGCCAGTCTGCAATGATCACATTAATTTGCTTATGCTGAGACTTCAGAGCTGCTGCCATTTTCCAAATCCAACCTTCTAACATCCCATCCACCTGTAATATTTAAAAAAAAAAAGAAAAAAAAAAAGAAAAAACAACTCACACATTCTTAAGGGAAATCAGTCTCTGCCAAATATTTCTTGTGAAAAGCTCAAGAAAACAAAGAACATCATATAAACAAGCAGGGCTTAATGCTGATAACTAGATTTTAGGGGCTTCAGCATGCTTCAGTGCTGAGAATCTTTGGGTTTTGGTGAACAAAAAAGTTAAGAATCTATAAGAACTGTATAGTAGTTAATGTCTTGTAATATGAAGTCTTATTAGTGAAATGATGTCCCTAAATATTTTGTCATCCTGGTATAATTGGTATTACTGATTAAAAAGAAAGACAGAAATGCCCAGAAAGTTTCTGTTTTCATTTAAGAGCAGCTGTCCCTGTAAATTTAAGCTAAAAGAGTTAGGGAGGGAAGCTGGAAGATTGCATACCAGTGGGCATTTACCTCCTACAGCCACTCCATTTTGAGATCTGCTTTTTTTCTGAAGTCATTCTTTTGTTAAGGGCCTGATCATGATTTCTGTATTAACATCAAAGACTGCTTCTGATTTGATGGACCAGAATTATAATTTAATCTATCAGATTTAATTGTTGCTCTAGTTGCATGTGCTTCCTCAATTGATAGAACACCCTTATCTCTTCTGGTGTTTTAACAGAATTTGGGAGTCTCAGTTCCGGGTTTCCATATATATTCCTCTAAAAGCCCAACACCTCTGCAAATTAAGTTCATATGAATGATAAACTTCAATGGCAGCAGCCTCAGGTCCATGGTTTGTCTTTGAGGAGTGTATAGGTTTTGAACAGATTCTTATTTGGGAGGCTTGGCTAAAGTAATCTAGGGCAATATTTCATCCGAAGTCATCTCTGCTGTTACTTGTTAGGAGAGTTATATGCATCAAAGGTGGTGTTCCAAGTTTCTCTGCGTATTTGCAGATGCATGAGAAAGATCCGTTTTGCCACCTTATGGGATGGCATTGGTTTTATGAGAATCAAGGATCTATTAAAGTGATGTTATTTCTCATCCTGCCTTTTTTTTTTTTTCTCCAACTGAGAAGCTGATCAAAAGTCACTCTTAATAATGCTATGCTTTTGAGAAAGGTTTTCATGGTGGATTTCTTTTTTTTTTTTTTTCTTTTACAGTTTAACTGGAAGCAGTTCAGTGATAATTCATTGATGTAGAAGGCTTCATTTTCAGCTGAAGGGGCTTATAGAGAAGTTCTCTTTAAAGGTGTATCTGTGAGAAAGATGTGGGGAGATTGTGTGCACTTCTTTTCAATAAGTCTGTAAATATCTGGCAGTGAACATATCAGAGAAATGAAACTGGTATTCAGTCCTCCAGAGGCATAGCACATTAATTCAGCTACTTGTTCGAACTCTGCTGGCTTTAAACCAGGGCTGAATCTAATCCTTGGCATGGGAGTCCTATATGAAAAATTGCTTGTAGACTGTTCCTTCAGAATCTCAGCAGGGAATATCCACTTTGTATTATTTCTAGCCATGATTGCTACCAGAGAAATCCACCATCTTTCTAATCACAACCTTTCTTCTGAAGTTACTTTTGGTACTAGCATAATGAGAAGGAAAAGTATATCGAATCAGATGTAGTTTAAATTAAAAATAAAATGTGAGTTCATACCGACCAGCCATGGACTATCATCACCAAAGGAAGAGAGGCATTGAAACGGCATTGGTCAAGAGTCTCCAACTGATTAAAAAAAATCTGACAGCTTTCTTCACTTCTATCTGTATAGAGTCGAAATTTGGTTTCTAAGTTTTGCTGATCTTTCTTTGTTCCAGTGTGCTGACTCTGTGATCCCAGTGCCTCTGAAATGAAATTCATAACAACAGTCATAATAGGATAGAATCTAAAACCTGAAGAAGTTACTAGTGAAACAGTTTATAAGACAAAGTAAACCTACTAAGAGTGAAACTCTAGCTATGTATAATTGCTGCCTACTCCAGGTGGGCCGAAGCTGTACATTTTGGGTCAAAAAAGGGATCTCTTTCAAAGTTTGAGATGGCCTAGATGTGCCTCTGAGTCTATCTATCTTAACAATAACAGTTATACAGGAAATATTGATCTTACTGCTACAGGCTGTTGTAGAATGCATAAGTATTTTAAAAGCACAGTACAGATGTTTGTGACTTTACAATGTTAGTGCATGCACAGGCAAGCAAATTCATAGGCTATTAACTCTGCAGGGCATATTTTACTAATGTGCATTTGCTAGTAATTGCTGAGCAAGCATCATTACACTAAAATAACCATTTTATTCGGGGTTATAACTGTGCTTAGAGACTTAGATGACTGCTTAAAACTATTAGACCACGTTGTAAATGATTCTTTTTCAACAAAAAGGCAAGATGAAATATTCTTGTTCTAGATGCAATATTTTTGGTGGTTACGGTTTTGGATAAAATAGTTTGGTACATATAGGACAGCATTTTCAGAAATGTCTATTAAGTACCTGGGATGGTATGTGTACTTAAGAAAGTGGGGGCAGGGTGAACTGTGATCTTATCAACGTTATGAGCTTAGAAGGAAAAACATGAATATAGAGAAATTGCTGAAAAATGGAGTAAAATAAAGCAGAAGCTTACAAAAAGCAACTTATGACATGCAAGTCTAGTGTTTCTTTCTAATAAAATTTCAGACTATTTTATTTATCTGAAAATAATCCATGTGATAAATTATTACTAAGCCAGAAAAAATGGGCATTAGTAGAAGAAAAGTTAGGGTGTGATGAATTAGACAAATTCAAGGTTACAGTTCTTTGTGTTGGAAAGGAAGCTTTTAGAGTGGAGAGAGTTTGCTAACCGAGTTCCCTGGGGACCCTTTTTTGGCTAATCTTGTTTTTAATATTGCCATTAAAGAAGCAGGCAGGAAAGGTACAAGACTGACAAAATTTGGGAGGCATTTGCTAATACTGAGGAGACCAAAACCGCTAAACACTGAGCTAGATGACCTTGAAAAATACGGCAACGGAAACACGTAGAAATCTCATACTGTGAAGTGCAAGGTCATACAGTTGATAGGAATTTCTCTATAAACGGGGCTCATAAATTGAAAGTGACACAAGGGTAAAAAGACTTGACTGTAGTAATCAATAACAAAACTGACTATGAGTCACTGCTGTGATTTGGCTGTGAGAAAGGAAAATATAATTCTAAGGTGCATCAAGGAACATGTTTTTTGTAGGAAGAGAGCATGTTAGTGCCAATAAGTTAAGGCACTTATTAACCACATACAGAACAGTGTGCATACCTCTCATTACCAAGTTCAGGTGATACCAGTTCAAGCTGCAACAGCTGCTCACCAGCACCAACCAAATGGTCAGGGAGGAGGCTTTTGTTTTAATTAGACCTAGCAAATCATGAAATATTTTTTGGAGGTGAAACTGAAGTATTTATTCACAGAGAAAGACGTTAAAATGATTTGTGGTGGAAAAGAACTCACATCAGTTAAATTTTAGTTCTTATATTTTCTTGCATAAAAGTTCCTTAATATTACATTAATATTAGAAATATTGTATTGTATTTTATCTTCTAAGCCAGCACATTTAATTTTTTTGTACATCACAACTCTTATGTCTATAGATGTTTTCAGAAAACATCTAAAATCATAGCATATTCATTTCTGTATTATATCTGCAAATGTATCCTGAGGTTCTAGGACATTGTTGTCTTGATAAGATTTTGCTAATTTACAAGGTACTTCTAATATATTTACAGACGAGCTTTTATCCTGCAACAGATTTAGCAATGGGAAACTCCCGTATTTATGTATTTGCAGTAGAGGCATCTTATAATGCACAGTACAAAGAACCCTAATGTGAAAGCACTGGCACAGGCTGCCCAGAGAGGTTGTGGAGTCTCCCACTCTGGAGACATTCAAAACCCACCTGGACGCCGTCCTGTGCAACCTTCTGTAGGTGACCCTGCTCTGGCGGGGGGGTTGGACTAGATGATCTCCAGAGGTCCCTTCCAACCCTGACCAGTCTGTGATTCTGTGAAAGCACGCTGGGTTTAGGTTAGACTGTATTTTTGCCACATGCCAGTTGTGTTGCAAACTTTATTCAAGGTTTTATTTTAGTATAATGGTAAGACATGATACAAACAGCATATTAAATTTGGTTAAGTGAATGGCATTTCTGGCCAGAAAAGTCCCAAACTGTGCAGTGCTGGATGTCGTTTTCTATTTGTTGCCGATTATTTCACATGCCAGGTAACTCCAGGCAATGTTATGTTTCATATCTAGGAAACATTATTGTAGGAAGTTGTTCAGCTTTTTACAAGAGCTGAAATTTAAAAAGCTTCAAAGTTAGTGCAGGTTTGATTGTCAAAATTCTTAGCTCCGGTGTCACATTTTTCTTTAATGGCACTTTTAACTGTGATATTTAGCTAAGATTAGGTCTGATCATTTCTCTGTTACAATGTCTACTTAGCGTTTCTGTTGGATTTTTTTGCTGGGAGAAGACTCAGTTTCTGAAAAAAGTAATATTAGGAGAAAGTGAATCTACATAAAGAACTGAAAATTGGAGTGAGTTTTAGTGATGTTGATATTCTTAACCTCCGGTTTATTCAGGCTTTGGTGAATAGTCTCTATGCAAAGATAAGCATTGTGTTCTATTTTTAGCACAAAAAGAAAAACAAACAAAAAATCTGCTAACTTGTGCCTGTTCCATTGTACACATCCTTTCTTTGTTTGATGCCTTGTTTTCATTTTCTTTGTGATCTCTCAGTTTGTGCAATGCAAAGGCGCTTTGTCACTGTCCATATTGTTTGTACATACTACAGAAAACAAGTCTAATAAATGACTGTTTTCTTTACACATCAATGGTGAAAGTGCTTGGGGTGCTTTAATGGGTGAGCTTTTGGCTTGCCAGCAAGTCTGAGAGAAGGAATTAAAAATACAATTTGAACTTCATCACAGCTGTCAAAAGTTAAAAGTTCCAATAGAATCTGCAGTGTTATTAGACAAAGAACGGCTTCAATCTGTTAATCCATGTAATGACTTGGAGAAGGAAACAGAGTCTGAAGAGCATGGCTTCTACAACAGACTCTTGCTAAAAATGTCATACCAGCAACTCAGTGACGTAATCAAAGGGAACTGCAAAGTTTCATAGGTCAGTTTACAAAAACAACAAAATAAAACTGCTGAAAATTTTGCCATGCTAAGGGTGCCAAGATCTTTCTGAAACTCCAAAGAGTTTCTCTTTGGAAAATTAGCCCTTACCGAGGTGAGTGAGTGCTGACTTAATTTCCTTTTTTTCCCTGAAGATCCTACTCTAACATTAATTTTTCAGGAAGGGCAATGCAACACAGCCACACTGATCTGTGTGATATCATTAATTACCTTCAGGAAGAGCAGCATGGTAATCACAAGCAAGAAATGTTGTGGTGACTTTTTGATACCCCAGAGGAGATTCAGCTCTTTACCTTTCCTTACTTTGTGTTAATGATGTTTCTATGAGGGGTAGTGAAGACTATAACCGAGCACTGCATTTGTAAACAACTGTAATATAGCAAAGTTTCTTGTAAAATGTTTTGGGGTTAGTTCTGGCAGACACACCAAAACACTTTTAGATTTGACCAGAGATAATCGTGTTTTCTTACTGAAAAGTAAAACCAAAAGCGTGATTCCCAGTTGAACAAAATGAAACTTTTTAAAAATTCTGATATTTTTTTATTTTTTTTTAATAAAAAAGGAGAGACACCTACATACCTGGTAGTAGGTCTAGTAGCCATCTGAAAACAATGCATATTGGGATGTACAAGATAAGTGTTCAGTTGTTATTTCTTACTGCTAGCTGTTAATTATTATTCACATTATTAGTGTTTATTGCTTTAGGTGATGCCTGTCCTGCTTCTAATAAGGTGAGCTCCAAACTAAGATGAAAGGAACATATGAAGGATAATGAGAAAGCCAGTAGATATGAAGAAATATTTTTTTTCTGTAAAAAGAGGTCTTGCAAGTAGTAATAATTATGATCATTCCATATCAGCCAAATTTAGGCTATTTGGACTAAATTACCTATTTACCTGTAGAAGCAGGTTAATCCAGGAGACTGACTTGGAGTGAATCACCCCTAAAGATGAGGAGGCATATGATTTCCTTAACTGAAATGCTTGAAGTCTCTTCTGAAAGTTACAGATGTGAATGCTGATGCTTTAAGACTTGTAAATGAAAACTTTACTGGAAGGTTGAAAAAGGTCTGGACACTGGCCAGGGTTTGAAGCTATGAAATACCATGTGGTGTTTGTTTTTTTTTTTTGGAGGAGAGATCCAGAATCTAAATATATTTCTTTCTATATCATGTCTGATTGGGCATAAAAATACAACTGCAAAATATCTGCTTCACACCACAAAATATGCCTAAAGATGTGTCAGGAATGAAGACAAAGTATGGTAGGACTATATAATGTTAAGAGCAACATTTTAGTATTTGCTAAGTCATACATTTTAAAATCATCTTACGGTACAGCATAAAAAACTTTGATTAAAATTGGCATTCCCAATTAAGGAAAGTAGCTTTTCTGGCTAAGAAAAATAATATTCAGCATCCTTCTTCCTGTCATGGAACTCTGCAGGAGGAGTTTCTCAGTAAGGTCTCACTGAAGAGGTTTGAAGATGATGTTTCAATGGCACTCACGTAATCCATCGGCAATTGAAAAATTAAGCAAACCTGAACATTGGGCTGCTGGTATGTTAAGGATACTTAAAAATCATACATATAAGCTTGCATACACACTCCAGTACCTAGAGACAACATATTTTTTCCGATTGCCTTCTGAACCTTACTGCAGCCTCCTTTCATGTTCAT